TAATGTTTCGAGGCGACTTGAAACAGGCGTCTGTCATCAAGAGCATCCTCACCTGCTTCTCAGACTTCTCTGGGCTGAAGATCAACTTCCACAAGAGCACGCTTGTACCTGTCTCTATGGATGCGTGTGTGGCTGATGAGATTGCCCAGCTCCTCGGCTGCCCTGTATCGGCCTTCCCTTGCACTTACCTGGGTTTGCCGTTGTCTCTACATAAGCTTACGCATGGCATGCTGCTTCCTGTTATTCATAAGGTGGATCGGAGACTGTCCGGTTGGCTGGCCACTTTCCTTTCCATGGGTGGAAGGCTCACCCTCATTAACTCTGTTCTTGCTGGCATCCCGAGTTATTTCATGTCATGTTTCCCCTGGCCCAAAGAATCCATCGACACTCTGGACAGTCTGTTGCGAGCTTTCTTCTGGCAGGGCAAAAACAAGGTCAAAGGAGGTCAGTGTCTTGTGGCATGGGACAAAGTTACTCTTCCTCGAGCAAATGGGGGCTTGGGCGTCCGAAACTTGCAAGCGCATGATCAGGCCATGCTATGCAAGTTCGTCACTAGAGTTCTGCAATTTTCTGAGGTTCCGTGTTACCAATGGTTCGCCACACAATACTGTAAGAGAGATGTGCCTCACAGTTCTGGTAGCAGGGACACGGCCATGTGGAGAGGTTTCAAGGAGTACATTCCTTTGGTGATCAGCTCGTCGCGCTGTGTGCTGGGCTCTGGTGACCTAATCTCCTTTTGGCATGATCAGTGGCTCCAGGTTGGCAGGTTAAGGCAGGTCTTCCCGGTGCTCTTCTCTTTTGCCAGAAGGCCAACCTGCTCGGTTCGGTCCCAGTTCAGTCATGGTTCCTGGGTGGTGCAGCTTCACCCAAACCTTACCCATGCGGCCGCAATGGAGTTAGCAGCCCTCCATCTTCTCCTTCAAGAGGTGGCCCCTGACGATGCAGCCGAGGACGCTCGTTCTCCGTCAGTAACTGGGAGCCGCATAAGCACCAGTTATTTTTACCAGTTGCTCACCTTCCGAGGGGTCAAGTGTGCAGCAGAATCATGGATTTGGGACTCGTTAATCCCCCTCAAGCATAGAACGTTCCTTTGGTTAGCTTTCTGGGGGAGGCTTAACACTAGAGATAACATGTTCAGGAAAAGCTGGTCTGCCATTGCTCCGTTTGCCGACTGCGATACCTGCCCTGCGTTAGAGAGCATTGGTCACCTTGTGTTGCATTGCAGGGCAGCATCTGCTTTATGGAACACCTTGGGGTTGGGATCCTTGGCGCTTGCATCATCCGACATCCTTTCTTTTGTCGAAGCAGCTGGTACGCGAAATGGAATGTGGCTTTTGCTGCTTGTGCTGTCACTGCATGGCATGCCCGCAATGATCGAGTTTTTCATTCAAAGCTATGGTCAGGTATTATGCAGCTGATCTCATTCGACTATGGAGCAACAGGACAAATAGGCAGCAAGACAAGACTGATCTTCTCTTCTGGTGTACTGGCTAATCTGCCAACTCTGCTGTTGCTTTCCCCTCCTTGCTCCTGTAGTCTTCCTCCCCTTACCAATCTCTTCTTCTTGTGTTTTGCACCTGGGTGCACTTCACAAGACCAATGTAACATGTGACTTTCACAGGTTTCTAACCTGTTTTGAAATATAAGGTTGGCACTCAGCCACCTTTTCTTTAAAAAAAAAATTTTGGACCCCTTTTTCTTAGTTTTTACCCTTGTCTGAATTCTCAGGTCCTAACCCGTAGCAACATAAGATGGACCGCTATTTTTTTTCTCCCTCCACTCTAGAGTCTTGAGAGCTTTGGGATATTTATGGTTCCAATCCTGCAAACATGACCGCCTATTTGCAGCTTTCACTTATTAAGATGCTCTGTTTCGCTCCAGCCAAAACCAGAAAGAAGTAGCCGAAAGAGAAATTAGCCTGGTGACGTCGAAATGAAGTCGACGAAAGAAACTGGTGAGGAAATGGCATTTGGGTTGTTTTCTGAAAGACTATGGGACGAAAACGTCGTTGGCAGGAACAGAGTGTAAGCATAGGCTGCCTGTGACTAGTTGCTTAACTTTTTATTACTTTTTTTTATAATAAAAGGAGGAATCTTCTAACTGAAACCGCCACGTCTTTTTACAACTACCAAAAGAAACTGGTTGATTAACTGGGATTGACTTTAGGGATATGACGTTAGAAAGAAAGCTTTGTGCCTGTGACTGGTTGCTTAACTTTTTATTACTTTTTTTATAATAAAGGGAGCATCCTCTCCGATTTCATTTAACTGAAACCACCATGTCTTTTTGCAAAACTACCAAAAGAAACTGGTTGCGTAACTTGGATCGAGTTTAGGGATATGACATTAGAAAGAAAGCTTTGTGTTGGACCCTGAATTTAAGCAACTGCACGTCATGAACTACTTCCACAGTTTTGACTTTTTTGGACATTGGACCACCCTGCTGTTGCATCAACACAAGTACAAGTATACTCAGGAATGAAACATTAGTTATCCAGCATCGCCACATGCCCACATTGTTCATTCGCCTCTGATCAGATTAGGAAAAAAAACATGGCCAGAACACGTGGAAAGAAAAGAGAAAAAATGCTCTTTGGCCGCGGAAATTTCATGTCCGTTACTTTGTTGCGCGCCCTGTTCCACCCGTCCGATTGATGGCTCAGTTCACTTTAACAATATATATAGGACGTGTCACGTGTGACCGAAAATGTCGTCGAGAAAAAGGCAAGGAGCAGCTGGTGAAGAAAAAAGGGAAGGCCAGGGGCAGGAAAATGACACAAGGAAAGGGAAAACCGCACACCGGCACACGGTATGCAAATGCAACCCCTCTAATATTTCCTTTGAAGGCCCTCCGTCCTATAATATAGGACGTTTTTGCAAGCTAGCATAGCTTATATTGTGGGACGGAGGGAGTAATAAAGAGGAGATCTTTCGATGCTTGCATGTATGAACGTTTTTTTTTATTTTGAGAGAGATGATGATGCTAGATATTGCCCGCAAAAATAAATAAATAGAGGACATCGACCAACAAGTCAGCATGTGCCACTTGGCAGCAATTCCATGCCCTGCACAAAGATAAAGATAAAAATACTATCTCCGTCCCTAATTAGTTATCTTAGATTTGTCTAGATACGAGATATATATCCGTATCTAGAAAATTTTATCTAAGACAACTAATTCGGAACGGAGGGAGTAGTACACTAGTAGTACTGTTCTTGATACTAATAGCACAGAAGCAAGTACGTTTGTTTCCTGATGGAGAAATTTGTACTAGGTTACATAGTTTCTCTGAAAAATTCAAAAACATAGTTTCTCTGTCTGTTTCAATTACGGAGATTTTCGTGTGGCTGTCAGCTGCGACAGGAGAAATCCCTAGGACGCACGAACCACCGGCGATATACTAGTACGATGCATGCAACGGCGAGGGCGAGGGCTAGGGCGAGGCGGGTGGCCGGGCCTGGCCGGCGTGAGCTGAGTGGCATAGCAGTGCGCCGCGTACCTGGTAAGCGGAGGAGCCGGTGCCGAAGACGAACCCTTGGGGGAAGTCGCCTTTGGTGATGGCCGCGGCGGCGGCCCCTTGAGACGCGACGGCGAGTAGGAGGAGAAGGACGCAGGAGATCGCCCTCGTCGCCGGCGTCCGGCCGGCTGTCCTCATCGCCTATATATAGACAGCTGCTGCTAGCTCTGTCGTCGATTCACCGGCACTGCGCGCTGTCTCGGCGGTGGTGGTGGGTGATGAACTGATGCTGGGTGATGGTCTCTTTATATGCCGTTCCCGGTGCTCTGCGGCCGCTAAGGCTTGGGAATGGCATGGCTGCGAGTGCGTGTGTATGTGTGGTATAGGACTGGCGTCAGCGTCGTGGTCGGCCGTCGGAAGAAAAGGAATCTGGCCTCCTGACCGGTGACCTCGCCGGACCGGCTGCGTGTAACGCCAGACAGAGTGGACGGAGCCGCACGCAAGCGAGCAGCGAGAGCCGCTCTGTGGGGGCTAGGCCCACCACGTCGGCTGACCACCGCTCTCGGCCACGTCGACCCACTGATCCTGCGACTTCCAAGCCTAGCGGTGCAGCTGTACCTGTACTCGACTGAAAAAGTCCCAGATACACAGGCTACTTTTTTAGTGAACTGCTTTTGTTTAATTAAGGATAAGGAAAATTGCACAGGAAGCCGACATCAGGTCCCCATCTTTCTCTTTTGTCGAGATGAATCCAATCATGGATTCCAAATCGGAGACATTTCACCCATACCCACGCACAGCAGATGTGTCACCTGTTTTCTCTCCCCTCCCATGTCTCTAATACGGCAGCAGCATTTTCTCGAGCACCTTGAGTGCGTTCGCCAACGACAACCTGCCTGAGCTCGAGCACCACGGCCACGGCCACCGCCGCGCTAGGACCGATGTTATTTTATAGAGCGCCACCCCGCCGGGATGAGTTTTTTTTTTGTTCGACAAATCTGTCTGACCCTTTCGTGATAGTTGAACCACATACAGTTTCTGTTCTAAACCACTCCAAGTGTTGGAATCTGGCCTACAGGTCGACTCCAGAGCGTCCCTCCCAATGTCGGGCTCCATTCTCTTCCGCACTGAAGCCGTTTCCCTTTCTGGCAAGATGATAGTGGCAACAGACCTGCCAAGTTTGGCTTTAGCGCTCTTATATTTCTTGACAGAGGGAGTACTATTGAATGAAAATTGAGATTTTGCAGCATTGCAGGTTCTATTTAAATGCAGGTACGTGCTTTCGATCTCGAACTGCTGACTAGATCCAACATCTTGTATATCGACATATTACTATTTTCCGCATATACATGAATACATCAGCATAGACATACGTATATATTAGGATCAACCCAATCCAGAGAAGCAGAGACCTATATATGAACCCTACTGCCCAAGCAAAATTCAATTTCCATCCAAAAACAACACCCCACCATCCTCCCAGTCCCAGGCTTATTCGTACATTCTCCTCTTCGTGGGCTACAGAATCTTGAAGTGTGACAAGATCACTGGGAATAGGCCTGGCCGGGCAGAGCCACCGGCCTGAGCTCGCCGCCACGGAGGAAGCTGGTGAACCACTTGGCGGAGTGCCTCTGGTACCTCGTCCTCTCCTCGGAGTTGAAGTCGACGCCGTAGAGACCGAAGCCCATGCGGTAGCCGAACAAATACTCGAACACGTCCAGAAACGACCACACGAAGTAGCCCTGCACGTTCGACCCGTTCCTGCTCACCCAGCAACAGAGAGGAGAATGGTCAGATAGCTGTGTCAATATGTTTCGGGTGTCATGTCACTCTTGTACTAAGATGAATGTGTTGGTACCTGCTGGATTCGAGGGTCGCCTCGATGTAATCCTGCAGGTACTGCGACCTGAACTCGTCGTCGGGGGCGTTCCCAGCAGAAGGATCCGCAATGCTAGCAGCTCCTGATAATTAAATATGAACATTGAAGACATGATATTTCAGGTTGATGATTCCTTGGGATCATGATGTTTTAGGGTAGCTGAAACTTCTGTTTTAGTAGAATTTACCGTTCTCATGGATCATGACTATAGGGTTCTTGTATTTGAGCTGGAGATGCTCCAGCATTTTCTTCAGAGCCCACGGTGTCGATGTCATGAAATCGCTTTTCAACCCAAACAGGAGCTGTTACAGTTTAATTTTAGCCACACAGACACACATATGATTTAGTTATGTTGGGAACAAAGTTCATTTCCCAACTAAATTGATTATTAGGGATGAAATGCATTGTATCGTCAAATACCTGGTTCTTCTTCAAAAATGGCACTGCAAGAAATACATTTGCAGAGGAGTTAGGTTAATTCATTTCTCTCATTGCACTACTGTGGCATATATAACACATGACAAGACTAGGTTATTAGAATGCTTACTGTCATATTGCACTGCTGCATCACCCATGTAATCTCTCAGCTCATCATCCAGCATGCTAAGATCAGCCTTCACATATACCGCAATGTAGTGGTTAAATCCGACAAAATCGAAAGATCCGAGCACCCTCTTCAGTTCTTCGCCGGTGAATGATGGTAGCCTGGACCCAACATTCTTCCTCATCACCGGGGGGTAATCTCCGTGGACCAACGGATGCATATACCTGTGCCATGATCACATTATCTTTAGCTGTTGTTACACTCAAATTATAGCCGTTTCTATGAAACTTGATGTCTAGAGGAGAACAGACCATCCAACATGGAAGTCATTCATCCTTTCAGCTGCTGCTATATCCTCAGGTGTTTGTGTCGCAGGCTCGTACCACCAACCGAGCAATGTGAGTCCAATTTTGCCTCCTTGCTTGGCCTGATTGTCAAGAAATAGAAGGGAATATTACACCTGTGAGAATGGCTATCCCAAATGAACAGTTGGTTCAGTAAAAGGTGGCATTCGTTCCTAACCTGGTACTTCTCTTTATACAGGGACGCTGCTGAGGCATGTGCAAGCAGAAGATGGTGAGCTACTATGTATGGCTCTGTGGTAGAGTTGCCGTTGTCGCAACTGAGGGCGCCGAATGGGAATGAGCATCGCCGTGGTGGGAGGATACCCTGATCATATCCGCCAATCGGCTCTATGTTTGGCTCATTGACAGTGCTCCAGTACTTCACCCTGTCGCCAAAGTTCTTGAAGCACACTTCTGCATACGCCGTGTAGTCATCTCTGCAACCATGTGACATAAGGCAGAATGCAACATTATTTCTTCATCTCTTCATGCAATGGCACTTGCGGTAATGATGTTAATTAGTGGGGCAAGAAGAAAGTACATGAATTTGCGACTAAGCATCCCGTTGTATTCGTCTTGAAGAGCCTGAGGGAAGTCGAAATGATATATCGTGACATGAGGCTGAATTCCTGCATGAAGCAGAGAAAGATGCATGAGTTACTCGTGTGCAGCTGGGCATCTGAAAATTCTTGAATTTTTATTCTTCAGATAAGGATTCAGTCTGCCAAGGATTAAATACCATGAGCCAAGAGTTCATCGATAAGATTGTTGTAGTACTCCAGTCCCTTTGGATTGACAGCTCCACGGCCATCTTCATGGATTGCAAACAAAAGTCAGTGAAGTGCCTAGCCAACTTTTCTGGAACAGATTATTCAGCAAGTGTATAGGACAAATGGTTGTACTACGACTGTCGGTATGGCCTTACCGGGAATAAGGCGAGGCCAAGCAATGGAAAATCTGTATGCGTCGACGCCCATGTCACTCAAAAGCTTTACATCTTCCTGTTGTCAAACACAAAATCAGCTGTAAGATTTAACACCAACTTCTTGGTTTGACAAATCATCCATTTAACATCACTTGGTCTCACAAACTGACCTTGTACTTATGGTATTGATCTGCAGTCACATCAGCATTCGATCCATCGACAGAATGGCCTGCGAATGTTAGAAACTCCACGTTATATTATAATTCACAATAGGAGAATGCATGGCAGATTCGGACGCGCAGGTCATGGGGAAAGTAGAAGTAACCTGAGTGTGTGAACGTGTCCCAGATGCTGGGTTTTCTTCCGTCCTCTGCGACCGCACCTTCGATCTGGAAAAATCAGCCGAATATTCAGGTCAGCAAAGTATTCCATACAATACAACAAATAATGAGTGTGATCTGAATTGAGAAGTTTCGGGCTATTTATTATTTTTACTTCTATTTTTTGCGAAAGGGGTTTCAGGCTATTTGTGGTTCCAATTCTACCGAACATCACTTTCGCCGATCAAAGGCACATTACTTTTTTCCGCTCCAGCCAAAGCAGAAGAAGCGGCCAAAGGAGGAGAAATTAAAACCCCAGTGACGTGACGTGACATGAAATCGACGAGAGGAAGTGGCGAGAAGGCGACACCCGGCCCCGGTAGGTTGTTTTCTGAAGACATGACGCTGCTTTTACTTGCTTATCGTTACGTAGTCCACTATGGAACGAAACGAAGAGGTTGTCGTCGGAAACAAGAGGATCTAGCTAGCATCGGTGACCAAGCAATGGACGCAAGAGCTGTGACGCCCTGCTTGCGAGTGGTTGCTAATATGGGTTTATGCTAAGGAGTAAAAGCATGTCGCAGTCAGTGACGGACCCTGAATTTAAGCAGGTGTTTAAGGTTATTTAAGCAGCCGCGCCTTTCGTCTGTCGAGCTTCAGCTGCTACTGTTGCATTGATCGCCACATTACTTATTGAACGCTTCAGATCATTAAGAGAAAAAAACATGGCGGGAAGGGGCGAGAACACGTGGAAGGAAGGAAGAACCCAAGAAGAGAAGACCCTTTGGCGCCAGAAATTCCCTGTCCATGCGCGTACTGTTCCATCCATCCGTGTGAAGGATGGCACGGTGTGTTGAGTTTCTTTCGATGGGATGCGTAACGCGTGACGGATGAAAAGGACGAAGGAGAAGGGAAGGAGAAGGGTAGGAAGGGGCAGGAGGACGGTGGCTGTAGGCTGTAGCTTGGAGCCATGGAGGCGAGAAAAATCAGAGGCCAGTGAAGCAAAAGAAAGAAAGAAAAATGCACAGATATTTCTTTGTATCCGTCGCGGGTGAAGTCTCGCTTTCTTATGTATAGAGCATATACTGTATTTCTTTGTATGGAAGATGTGGTTTTGAGTTGAGTGGTGCTGCTAGGATGCCGACGACCAAGCTGGCATGTACTCCCTCCGTTCCTAAATATAAGTCTTTTTAGACATTTTAAATGAACTACAACATATTTCAAATGAAATACAATATAAGAATGTATGTAGACATATTTTAAAGTATTTTGCGCTCTATGTGGTTTATACTAGAATCTCTACAAAGACTTATATTTAGAAACGGAGCGAGTGCTACCTGGTGCCATGCCCTGCATGATCGGTGGTGCCGCGCATGCACAGCCACCAGCCAATGAACGTGTTGATAGCCTCGTGGGAGGAGAGCAAGTGGTGATGGAGACTCTTAATAAGAGATTTATAGTTGTAATATGGTCTTTTAGTCCATGTTAAGTCTTAGAAACCAAACAGATAGCGATTTTTTAAGGACTTAGGACTTATAAATTGGGATTAAAAAAAGTCCTAAAACTTATGAACCAAACAGGGCCTTAATCGAAAAGCTACTCTAACGGTTTGAGCTTCATAGGTATGGACCAGGGAGTAATAAACTGTTTCTTTATAGGGAAGGGAGTAAGAAACTGTTTTGTTTAGGGAGGGAGTAATGAACTGTTGCGTATCATAGAGTACTGTACGTACGTAATAAAAACTGCTCTTGAAATGGCACTGTCGTGCGCCCTGGCCCATCCGTCGGATGGCTCAGTCCGTTCCTCACTTGTTTTAAAAGGACGGGCGTCACGTGTGGCCCAAAGTCTCGCGGGAGTTTTTTTCTTTTTCTTTTTAGGGGGTCTCGTGGGAGGTAGACGAACGAAAGCGGAAAGCCAGGACAGTAACTTTTCATGGAATGGAAGGCAAGAGGAGACATTTCCGTTTCGTGCAGTATGAACGTGTGGTCGAGTAAGTGGTGTAGACGGATTGATCGGCGACTACTGCAGCACGAGCATAGCAGGCGTCGGTGCTGGTGCTAACTAGGATCATGATTTTTCGCTTTCAGTGAGATTTCACCAATGAAATTCATCAAACACTGTAATATTTACGTTTCGGCCAAAATATTTCATTGAAATTTCAGTAATACACAGGAATTTAAATGTTTGTCAAAAATTTAAATACTTAATTGAACCCAGGCTAATATTTCGACCTTTTGGCTGAAATGCAAACCGAAATCACTGAATTTCGGTGATTTCAGTTGGTGCTGAAATTTTCTCTGGAACTAAGATTGAAATTCATGGCTAGGATAGCGACGAACGCGGACACACGTCGTCGCACTGCACTTGGCAGCCCTGCACCAAGATCATATAGCCAGTGCTATTGTTCTTTTCTCTTGAAATGGAAGAAACAGCGCAGGGGCGATGACCGGAGGTATGGCTTTGTGTAATCCTGTCTGTTTAGGCCGCGCTTGGATTGGTTGTATTCAAATACGGAGGTGTATATTTTACACCTGTATCTTACCGGCCGCTTAGCAAATCTGGGGCGGAAATGAAACGACGAGCTGAGACTTGTATTCTTTACGGGTGTATTTGAGAAGAACACGACAATCCAAACGGGGCCTTACTGGTAATTTGGTTAACTAGTACCGCATCTGTTTTCATCACGGAGAAGGTATGCTATCTCCACTGGCGCTGGTCTGACCGTCAGCTCAGCTGTGATCTCATTCAATTCAACCGATTTGTTTGACTGGGGAGAAATCCCCACGCACGAATCAGAAGAACCACCGGAGGTATCTATACTGGTTGATACGACGATACATGCGACGGCGAGGCCGAGGGAGGCGGGTGGCGCACCTGGTAGGCCGAGGAGCCGGTGCCGAAGATGAAGCCCGGGGGGAAGTCGCGCTTGGTGATGGTCGCCGCCGCCGCCTCCGGAGTCGCGACGGCGACGAGCAGGAGGAGGAGGAGCACGGAGGAGAGCGCCTTCGCCACCGCCATCATCGATCGGCCCGCCTGCTAGTGCTAGCTCCGTCCGCGGTCCCTCTCTCCTGGAGGCTGGAGGTGATGGTGGCTTCTCTCTTCTTCTTGTTGGCTTTGGCTCTGGCTCTGGCTGCAGGCCCCGGCCGGGCGCGCGGGGTTTTATATGCCGTTTCCTTTCCATCTCGGTCACGCGCCGCGCTGTCCTCACTCGCGCCTCTGCTTACGTCCGAGCACGGCGGCCACGTCGTCCGTGACGCACACCCGCCGCGGCCGCAACCCGCCAGCCAGGCAGGCGAGGCGACGCTGGACTCACACACTTGGCCCTCCGGGCGCGGCACGTGGCGGGCGCCGACGACGATCTCGCGCGCGGTGCGACCGTAGCCTTGGCATTTGGCGTGCATGGCCGCGAGCGGTGTGCGCGTGTGGCGTACGTCTCCCGGCATGGTCGGCCAGAGGCAGGAAGCAGACCCGCCGCCCGTTTCCTTTCCGGCATAGCAGAGCAGAGCTTCCCGTAGTACGACGCCCACCACGCCGTCGACCGACCACCACCACCGGTCCCGCCTACGTCGACCATCACCGAACAGCCCACTCTGTTGCCTCCGACGGCGACGCCGTGCACTCTGTTGTGTTAATTAAATTTTAAAAACCAGTTGATCCAAACAAGTCAAATCTTCTGAATGCCAATGCTAGTTAGCTAGCTAGCCTACGAACTTGCTCCACGTACGGTGCAACTCTAGCCAGCGATGAGAGCTAGCTAGGATCGACGTGGCCCTGCTTGCGTTTCCCTCCGTCTTTCTCGTCCGGCGGTGTGTCTTCAAGACACTCCCAGACGTACCCAGATGGGCATCGACGGAACGAGACAGGACGTACGTAGTACAGGACCAACTCAAATCAAATTGGTAAACGTAACAACTGTAGCGTCCCGTCCATACGCTCTCTTCTCCAGGGGGAGGGATCTTCTCGTGTCTGGTCCGCTTCTAGAAGGAACGTGGGGCCCGCCTATCGCCTTTTTCTTAACTTTTTCCTTGGAGAGCCCCGCCGTGTGGCGACAGTTGGCCGACAGCAGGTGTGGTTTCAGTTTCAGTTCAAGCATTACGAACTCAAACTAGTCTTCTTCACGTACACACTTGTATACACGGTAATTCTAAAAACTATCTACGGACTACGGCGTCCTGTGAGAATTTCTTGGAATATACTGTATTACTATGCTAGTACTTCAAAAAAATTCCAGAGGACCTGGTGCAGGTGACGTGACACATGAATGTGCATGCAGGAAAAGCTTAAGCCGAACCCCTAATTAATCACCACCGCTTAAAATCACAAATCACAAAGCATCTACCCCACCCCCAATTAAAATCAGGAGGAGGAGAGATTAGATGTTTTGTGATTTGTGAATGACACGTGGCATCCATTAGGATAGATCTCACCTACTAACTATGAGACCTGGTCTCATATAATTTTTTTTCAAGCAACCTGATGTGTTATAACCTTTCGCTTCTGCCCACCTGCGGAGTTTCCTTGCCTCTCGCCGGCGCCACCGGTCCACCTCATCTCCTTGGATCATGGAGGCACGGTAGATCTCGGCTCTTGCCGATGGGAGGGCTCCGTTTTTAGACGTTTTTCTGAGTTTTGTTAGGGTTTGTGCCATGCTCAAGAAGACGAGGCGGCGGCGGCTTCTTGAAGATGGAATAAGGTCTTTCCCGCCCCAGCCCCTGTCTCGCTGATGTTTCAAGCATCGTCAAAAGGCGTGTGGAGGTTTGTTTTCGGCGAATCTCGTGGGATCCGGTCGGCGTTTGTCTTCGGTGAATCTGACTGGATCCGGTCTTTGTTCCTCTACGCTTGTGTGTCTGCAGGTTGGATCCTTCCGGTCTATGTTTCTCTTCATCGGCGGCGGTTGTTGTTCTGGTGCGGTGGTCCTATGAGGCCTTAGCACGACGACTTCCCGGCTGTTTACTATAACAATGTTTGCCCGGCTTCGACGAGGGAGGTGCGATGACGGCGGCGTGCCTTCGGCTTGCTCCAGTGTTTGTAGTCGTCACTAGGTGGTCCACGGACTTAGATGTAAATTTTTAATGTTTTTTGTACTATCTTGATAGTTGATGAATAGATCAAAAGTTTTTTTATAAAAAAATCACCCCCATCCTAATTTAACCAATGGTTGTAGATCACCCTTAATTCCTTCGTGGATGTTTTTTTATAGAATCATTCGTCCATGGATGTAACTTTACTCACATGTGACAACGGGCCATTTCTGTCACACACACACATACACACACGATATCTCATGCGACATGGATCCGTGGCAGGCACCTTGTGCCCCAACCGTGGGCCCCGAACGCTCTTCTTTTTTGTTGGCACCTGCGGGGCAAAACCAAGCGAAAATCGATACATGCAGAATAAAATCCTACAAGGACTCAAACAATCAGTGAGGACACCATAAATAGCACACCACAACAAACCATTCATCTCATGCTCAAAAAAACAACAGCAAAACATCCCCACAAAACCTCTAGGGGACATTTCCCAAAATAACAAGCACCGGAGAAGAAAACACGTGCTCGCGACTAACATCTTGTAGGGTTGTCCCCCAAAGCAACGCTAACCAACTGGTTGGCTTTTGCAATACTCTTTGTATTGACTACATGATTCAGACCTTGGGTGATTAGAGTCACGATCATGAGACCTTTGAGCAGCTTGATGAAGTCATGCAAAGAGTCCTCACCCTTAGTCGCCAAGGCACATCCCTTTGCCACACCTGGCTTTACGACAGTGCTTAGAAGTAGCCATGCTAAACTCACCGGCCACCCTGTCCTCGATACCTTAGTCGGAGGTTGCCGACCACATGAAGTATTCCCGCGCGTTCGGCCCATTCCTGCAACACAGTTTTCATCAGAAGGCGAGAAAGAAGACGACGAAGAAGCTGCATGTGCACCGAATGGACAGGTACAGGCAGTGGCGGAGCTTGATAAAGATTGTTGAGGGGACGAAAAAGATAAGTCATGAATGGACTCTAAGAAATCTTTGATATTCAACCCTAATAATTAAAAATACACATAAGATTATTCTTAGATTAGGGGGGGGGGCAATGGCCCCCTTTGGCCTCCATGAAGCTCCGCCACTGGGTACAGGGTTTCCACTTAATCTTGCAGGAACTCCGCTCTATCCTCGTCGTCCTCCTCATCCTCGGCCTTGCTCCGGGTGCCGGGGGCGGTGTGCTCGTGCGGCATTTGGCTCGCGGCATGGTCGCCCGGAATGTGAGCCACACGTATGACCACAAGTACATGAAGGGACCGCCGCATGTTTCCTTTCCGGTCCGATGATAGCAGAGCAAAGCTTAATTCCCGTAGAGACGGACGTCCACCACGCGCGTCGTCGGCCGAGGCCACCACCGTTTCCACCCACGTCGACGTTCGTTACTACCAATCCACTGTCGCTGCGACTGCAACGCCGTGAGGCGCAACTGTGCTCGATTGTGTTATTCGAAACTATGTAGGAAGCGCGGCTCGGCTGTATCCAACCCGGTAACAAAACCACACAGGAGCATTGCATATAAAATACTTCCTCAATATAAGATGTTTTTTTTGCAAAAACAGTTTATATTGTGGAACAGAGGGAGTAGAACATAGCTATACTTTTAGCTGAATTCTTCACTGCTTCTAATATGCAAATGTTTCCCATCACATACACGCAAGTGCAATAATTCAAAAATGTGGGTCAAGCATATTGTTTAGAGCATCTCCAACAGCCGCTCAACGCATGGCGCGCTAAAAATCAGTTTGCAGCGCGTCGATCGCCTGCTTTAGAGCGGCGGTGAGCGCTGGCTCCAGCGGCCGTGGTAAATTCAGCGCGCGCGTAGCTCCAGCAGGCGCCCTAAAATGCAGCGTGCGACTTCTCGCACAAACACTTTGGACGACGGTGCATATGCATAGATAGATAGAAACGATACATAGATATTTCACACAATGCATACATAGTTCATAGCATAGATAGATAAAAGAACTATGGTGCAACTAGATAAAAACTACGGTGCAACTACAACCTAATTCGAATAGTCCTCATCACCATCCTCGTTGGTGTTGTCCGAGGTAGAGAGCCACACGTCGTCCCAACAATCATTGTCTGACGAGAAGAACGATTTCCCACCAGCGTTAACGAGATCGCACTGTGATATGGCCAGTGCCTTCCGCCGACGCCTGTCTGCCCGCTCCGCGTGGCGCCTTGCTATCCTCTCCGCCAAAAGGCGTTCTCGTTGGTGACGTCCTCCGGGTGGCGCCGGCGCCACTCCGCCATGGCTCGCTCGTCCTCCTTGACAATGAGGAGGCGGCGTTGTCGCCGACGGTGTTCCTCACGGTCCTGGTCTGTTATAAGACGAGGCGGAGGGGCGACGGCCTGCGCCTGCTTGCGTGTGTAGACGTCGTGGAAGGTCATCTGCGCGCTAGGCCTCTCTAGGCGCCACGCCACTGCATCGTACGCGCGGCCGGCCTCATGCTGTCTTGAACGTGCCGAGGCCGAGGCGGACGTCGCCGGACCAGATCTCAGCGTAGTAGGCATCGGAGGGGCGCTCGTGGACGCTGCGGTAGCCCGAATATCCCTGGCGGCGCGGCAGCATGGTGGCGCGGTGATGGCGTGTCGGAGGCGGGGCGCTGAAGCGGGGTAGAGCGCGCGTGGCGAGCGCTGCAATTTATGGACGCGCCGGAAGCGGTGCGCCAAATCTAACGCGCGACCGCCAGCTTTCTCCCCTGCGCGCAATCTTTTCCCGCGCGCGCTAGTTTGCCGTCTCCGCTGGAGCGCGCGAAAAGTTCCCCCGCATGCTAAATGCGCAGTTTAGCGTGCGCGCGTCTTTTGACACGGTTGTTGGAGATGCTCTTATGAAATAGTGGATCTACGTCCAAGAAGTTGCCATGTTGTCTGTCTTGCTGGCCACTAGACCTGGGCTTCCTATATTCATAATGTCTCTAGAAAGGTGCTTTGGAAACCCATGTTTTTGTGTTTATAGTTACCACATGGGTGATGTATCTCTT